AGCTGGGACCACAGGCGCCCGCCACAACGCCCGGCTATTTTTTGGTTGCAACCGTCTTTGTTGTTTGGCGGGCCGGGGCTGGTGGTTTGGTGGCCGGGGCCGCCACCTTGGGTGTACGTGACTGGTGCCTTAGCCACTTGAGCCACAGGCGCCGAGCCCAGAGAGTTTTAAAATTAAAAATAGTGAACAAGGTGAAGGGACATGGAAGGTAGAGTAAAATGTCTAACATATTATCAATCCAGAATTCTGGAAGAGAAGAAACTTAAGTCAGAAACAACATTTTAAAAAGATAATCAAATTCCAGAATTGATGAAAGACCTAGTCCATACATTCTAGACGCCCCATGGGATAAAATAAAAAGAAATCCACACTTAGGCACATCACAGATATATTGCACAGCTACAAAGACTAAAGGAAATCTTAACAACACCCAGAGAAAAAGACACGTGAACTTCAAAGGAATGAAAGTTGGGCTTGCTTCTCTATACCAAAAACAGAAGCCAGAAAACAGGAATATATATTGTCAATACACTCAGTGAAATCCTGTACCTCGCAAAAAACTCTCAAGCTTAAGTGTAAAATAAAGACGTTTCAGACACACACAGAACTGACTTTCTTTCAATAGACGCTGTCTTGTGCTTGCTTCGGCAGCACATATACTAAAATGGGAACGATACAGAGAAGATTAGCATGGCCCCTGCGCAAGGATGACACACAAATTTGTGAAGCGTTCCATATTTTTAGTTATTATCTTCTGGTGAAGATCCTTCCTTTTACCTCTATGAATAAGAAGAGAAGAGATCCACATTGGATTTGGTCATTCCCCTATGATGAAGAATATGGCTAATGCTTCACTGGGTATTGATCTGGGAATAGATATTACTGCACAGATATTACTGCCAGTGAGTCAATGAATGGATCAATAAACAAAAATATAAATGAAGAAAAAGTTTGCTTATCGTGGATCTATGATGAGTACCCTGGGGTGTCTGAATCAAAGATTTTGATTAAACCCTCTAACGCTGAGGTCCACTGCAAAAAGATTCCTGTTCATCATCATCATGAATGGATGCACAATAATCCAATCATTCTCTGGATTCAGTGAGAAATATCTTGGTTATTACCTTTTTGAAAAATATATATAGAAACCTGTAAGTTAAAAAAAAATTTAAAAAAAATAGACACTGTCTTGTGGGATTAAAAGAAAAGATAAATACGCAACACGAGAATATATTTAGAGACGACAGTACTAATGTGTTCTAAATGCCTGGTATTTTTCTATGGGGGGAAATAAAGGCATTAATTTCATTTGAACTTTTGAGTTCAAGTCAATAAGCTAATTTTTTTTTTTTGTAGTTTTTGGCCAGGGCGGGGTTTGAACCCGCCACCTCCAGCATATGGGGCAGGCGCCCTACTCCTTGAGCCACAGGCACCACCCAATAAGCTAAATTTCTAGAATTTTCCCTAAAAGAGAAAATAGGTTGATGTAACTTCCAAACTAGCAAAGGGAGAAAGAATGGAAGGGGGGAAAAAACAATCTAAAAGAAAGCAAGAAAGGAAAAAATTCATGAAAAAGATAGGACAAATAGAAAGCACAAAATAACATGTTAGAATAACGTTATTCTACCAGTAAATCAGTAATTACAATAAATCTAAATGGATTAAATGATCCAGTTAATAGATTAAGATTGTCAGGCTAAAAATAAAGATATATAATTGGTCCCTAACTTACAATTTTTTCAACTTTACAGTGGTGTAGAAGTGATGCACATTCAGTAGAGACAGTAACTGTGAATTGTGATTATTTCCTGGGCTAGCAAAATGCAGTTCCATACTCCTTTGAGATTCTAGGAAAAGGCAGTGAATGAGAGAGCCACAGCCCAGTCAGCCAGGTGATGACAAGGGTGAGCAACCACTGCTTGTAAGTTTACGATGTACAATATTTTCAACTTGAGATAGGTTTATCAGGATATAACTCCATCGTATGCCGGGTGCAGTGGCTTATGCCTGTAATCCTAGCACCCTGGCAGGTCAAAGCAGGTGGATTGCTTGAGCTCAAGAGTTCTAGACTAGCCTGAGCGAGAGTGAGATCCTGTCTCCAAAAAAAGCTGGGAGTTGTGGTGAGTGCCTATAGACCCACCTACTTGAGAAACTGAGCCAAGAGAATCATTTGAGCCTAAGAATTTGAGGTTGCTGTGAGCTGTGATGCCACAGCATTCTATAGAGAGTGACAAAGTGAGACTTTGTCTCAAAAAAAAGAGAGAGAGATAGAGCCCCATCCTAAATTGAGGAACATCTGTATTTATGTTTTTACAAAAGATATATGTAAAATACAATACAGAAAAGTTGAAATTTATAGACAAAATGCAACAAAAAACAAGCTGATATGAATAAGAAACTTTATCAGAAGAAAGTAGTAATACTGATTAAGGTTCAATTATCTGAAAAATATAACAGTGTTCATTTGTTTGTACCAATAGTATTACCACATTGACCAAAAACTGTAAGAAAAAACAGGTAAAATCCACTATCAAATTATGAGATATTTTTATATGCTCTTTTATTATTAGCTCAACTCAGACAAATCAATAAGGTAATATATTTGAGCAGAGCAATTAACAAGTTTAATCTAATGATAAATACAGAACACTGATCTCTACAGAATATATACTTTTTGCAAGCATATATGGAACATTTATGAGACCTAATTGCAAATACAACTTAAAGAATTCTTCAACAAATGTCAAAGGATTCATGAAAGTAATATACTTTTTATATGTTCATTGTATGAAACTTGGAAAATATGAAAGTCTAAGAAAGAGACAAAATGTCACTCACAAATCTAATGCTTAAAAGTAATTACTTTTCACTTCGAGCTTATTCTACTTCTTGATTTTTTTTTTTAATTTTTGGTTTTTTTGCATCAGCCTTGCTCACTCAAACTCCTGGGTTCAAGTGATCCTCCTGCCTCAGCCTCCCTAGTACCTGGGACTACAGGCACCTGTCACAATGCCGGGCTAATTTTTCTATTTTTAGTAGAGATGGGGTCTCTCATTACTCGGGCTGGCTGGTCTTGACTTCCAGAGCTCAAGGAATCCTCCCACCTCAACCTCCCAGAGCACTAGGATTACAGGTGTGAGCCGCCACACCCAGCACCCTTCTTCTTTATGTGTTTTAAATAGAATCAGATTACACCACTAGATACAATTGGGGGGGGGTTATTCTTATCTTTTTTCTTAACATAATAAGCACTTTTCTGTGTCATTAACAGTTCTTTGTAACCCTTCTATTAACTACATAATATTCCATCAATTGGATATGCCATATGTCCTTAGCCATTTCCTTACTGCTGAGTCTTACTGAGTTGTTTCCAATTTTCTCAGACTATAAACAGCCCTGTAATTCACTCTGTGGTGTTTACAAGCACACTTAGACACCAAGGACCTCAAAGCACTAAAGCACCATCTTGTGTGCTGTCTAGTCAGTGACATGGATAACAAAGCATTTTATTCTCTTCATGCCAGTAATACATCCCCACTTCTAACCCATGTATTGCCTCGAGGTGTTTTACTCATAGTCAAGGCAGTATCAAACCCCCTTCTGCTGTCTTCACTGCAGACAGGACTGACTTTCCCAACAGACAGGAGCATATATTGCTACAGGTGCTTTCTGGCTTAGCCAGAGGCAAACTCAGCACAGAGTCTGAACAGTCATCTGGGTGTGATCCCCACAGAAGCCGGCAGCCTCTCCCTTCAACCCCAAAACTTGAACAAGCAGTATTCCTTAGAAAGGCACTGTGGCTCACCAGACCTTTGTAATTCATCTGACACTCAGTCCACACGTGCATGTAACTTCTAAGCACTGGGTTTGTTAAATTAACATTTCCCTGTAATTTTTTTTGGTGCAGAGTAGACTTTGGTAATGATTTTTATCCTTCTATTTTGTAATTACAGAATTATCTAACAACATCTTTGGAAACAGAAAATAAGATTGAGTAAAGTCAACATGGTCCATCAAGTTCGGCAAGAGGAAAGAGCAATAATCCAATTGTGCATTTCAGAAATGAAAACGGGATAGTACATTGTTCTGAGAACGATGCAACCACCTTTATATCCAGTTTATTATTTTATGAACAGGGCTTTAAAACTTGTTTGCGTGCATGTTCGCCATTTGATCTTTTGCCATAAGATGATTCACTTTAAAGGTTCAGAAAAGCATTAGTTCATGCCTAGGAGCGATGAGCCTCTCTCTTTCTGCTGTAGTCTATCTGTTCTTTCCCCTCTAAATCTCCGCACCATCCAAACCCCCGTATCTCTCCCTTCTCCTGCTCGCGCTCTTTCCCTCTCTCTCTCTCTCTCTCTCTCTCTCTCTCTCTTCCAAGAGCACAGATAAATGATAGTGGAAGTAAGTAACTTGAAACCATTACCATCTTTCACGTTCTTCCCATATTCTCATATTCTCAGCTCCCAACTCTACCTGAGCCCCTAACATGCAAGTTCCCGGAGAGTGGTTTGAACTCGGCTGTGAAATGCACCCCTCCCAAGAAGCAGCTGGCAAGCCTTTAATATCTCAAGGCTCAGACACCCTTAGGCGTTGCTCTTCTCCCACTCAGGTGCCCCGCTCCGACTGCCTCTGAGGGCCCCCGCCCCTACCAGGGTGGCAGGAGAGCCTTCACTGAAGACCCTCAGCTCCTCTGCTTTGCATTTCCCTGGGGAGAAAAGCTTTCCGGAAGGTAATCTCACTTCCCCCTTTAAGGAGTGGCAGTGGCTGGGTAATGACCTCAGCTCCGGAGTACACAGACTATCACGGCACAGTTGAGAGATGCACGGAAAGCACAGACTGTGCTGAGGGGCTCTTCGCCCATGTCCACCTCTCAGATATGCGAGCAGGACACAGGAGGTCAAGTGACTCGCCCTCAGCCATCCAGCTAGGAGTGGTGGGGCTGGGGTTTGAACCTAGGGATGCCGCTCCAAGGCTTCACTAATAGGATCAAACACAGGTTCAGTTTCCTCTTTCCTTCATTTAACCAAGAGATGCATTGGGCACCAACGACGTGCTGAGCCAGAGACGAGGTTAAAAAGTCCCTGTTGTCCAGATCTTGCAACCAGCAGGAGGGAGCCGCCAGAGCAGGTGCCGCCCGCGACGGCAGCGCGGCTGGGGAAGCTCTCCAGGTATCTGGCAAGTGGGCATCCTTGGCGGACAAAGACCACACTCAACCCTCAAACTCCATATGGGCCCCTTCTTGTAACCACTAGTCCTGGCCTGACAGATGCTGGGGTCACTTACCTCCCCTGGCGCCTCCGGCTGCCCTGGAGCGTAATTTGAACCGGAATGCTAAAGGGCTGCATGAGGCCGGGGGCTGAGCCAAGCGGACCCCTTTCACCCGAGTCGCGCCCTCCGAGGGCGAGCAGGGCAAGGCTGACGCATCCAGGAAGCGAGTCCCACAGGGACCCCGGCCCCGGTGCGCGGCCGCCCGCAGGAGCAGGAGCCTGGAGAAGCGGGGACTCCGGGCAGGCGGCGGGCGAGGCGGGGCAGGCGGCCCGGACACTCAGGAAGGACCCGCGTGGCCTTCTGCAGCCCGGGCTTCTCCCCGGTGGCTGCCAGGTGCCTGCTGCCACCTTGTCGCCGGTGTTTCCGCTTCAGCGGCCCAGAGCATCGCCATAGAGACTGTGGAAAGTTCTGAGACCCAGGGGACCCTCTGTAATTGGTAAGGGACATACTCAGTTCAAGGTTTATAAGAAGAGGAAATGTTTTGCCCTGGCCACATTTCCTTTTCCACAAATTGTCTGTTAGAGTGCAAGCTTAGAGGATGGGTTTTTCTGGTTAATGGCACATTCCAATAAAGAGAATTAGCTTTTATATCATATGTGACTTTCTAATTTTTCAAGACTCAAAGGACCAGAAAATAATTCATCATTAAGACTATCTCTAAAAAAAATTATTTAAAAAAAATGTTATCAAAAATTATTTTATCTTTCTTTGATGACCTAAAAGACATTTGAGGAGCCTCTCTGATACTCCCAAATCATGAACCTCACTTGCCACTATATCGTAATACCACGCATTGCTACAGGCAGCTGTAGCTGTGGGTGACAGGATGCCAGATACACCACTTCTGACGTATGTTTTTAGTCAAGGAAACTTTTTTTTCTTTTTTTTGAGATAGAGTCTCACTTTATTGCCCTCAGTAGAATACTGTGGCGTCCTTGGGCTTGAGCAATCTTCTTGTCTCATTTTTTTCATTTTTACTAGAGATGGGTTCTTATTCCTGCTCCGGCTGGTTTCAAACTCCTCAGCTCAACCAATCCGCGTGCCTCCAGCCTCCCCGAGTGCTCAGATTATAGGCACAAGCCACTGGGCCCCACCTAGTCAAGGAAATATTATCTTAACTTTTTCCAAAATGTTGGTGTGAGGAGGAATTCAAGCATAATTTCTTCCATGTATAAGTAGCCATATAAACCGTTATTTGCAGCCATTTTAATATTGTTATATATATACATATTTATATACTTCTGATTTGTATTCTTCTATTGGCATAAGAACTATGTTTTTTACAAAATATTTGTTTTTAATGAACTGATGCAATTTGGAATAAAAACTGAGAGCAACTAGAATTGTTTCCTTTTGCCTCCTCCTTCCAACTGAGCCGCGTAAACATGTGATCACTTTTCCTTTTCAGATTTACATGTGCTAATAAATTTCCCCTTCAACTTGGCATATCACTCTCTTTGAGGAATGATTTGCTGCTGTTTTATGTCATTAATTCAACCTCAGATATAGAGCAATTTTTGAGCCCATGAGACTCATTCTTGGCACCCAAAACCTGCACCTGCCTTTGCTAGAACTTTCTGGTCATTTCCACTATGATTCTAGTTTCATCCTTCTGAGGCAGGAGGATCTGTTCAAGATAAGCCTGGAGAACATAGTGAGATCTTGTCTTTTCAAAAAACTTTTAAAATAAGCTGAGTGTGGTGGCACCTATTATAGTTCCAGCTACTTGGAAGGCTGAGGCAGGAGGACCACTTAAACCCATGAGTTTGAGGTTGCTGTGAGCTAGGCTGGTGCCATGGCATTCTAGCCTAGGCAACAGAGTAAGGTCCTGTCTCTTAAAAAAAATTAAATAGGGGCGGCGCCTGTGGCTCAAAGGAGTAGGGTGCCGGCCCCATATGCCAGAGGTGGCGGGTTCAAACCCAGCCCCAGCCAAAAAGAGTGAAAAAAAAAAAAAAAAAAGTAAATAATAATAATTTTTAAAAACTTATGTATGATCTTTAAAAGTTCACAATAGAGACAATGGATTATTTCAAGTTATTTTAGTCCTGATTCAAGAGTTATGATAGGACCTGACAGATTTATTTTGGGTCCTGAACCAGTCTGAGCCTGGCTGTATCTTAGGTATAACTGTCACAATTGGCCCTATTAGACTGATCACAGACCTAGCCTGAGCTTTGTTCTTTCTTCCAGTTTGATAAGAATGATAGAACTTTCTGCCCTTTAATTTTTTTTTCCTCATGCCCCTTCACTGGATAACTGACTGGTGTCTCGGTCCAGAAATACCACGCCCACTCCCCTCTTGCCCTGACAGACAAGCCCCATACACATATATATTCCATTCAGGGCTCACAGCCTACCTCTGAGGAAGAATGCAGAGTGGTCATGTGAACTATAATCTTGACGTGTCTGTGAGTGACAGTGCGGGGCTGAGCCAGATGGAGTGTGGTAACCCGTGTTCTACCTGGCGGGGTGCTGTACTGGTACAGCAGGGTCTCTGGCCCCTGGACTCCCCCTGAACTCCTAGATTACTTCTTCCTCCAAGTTGTTGGAGATCACTGCCTGCTCCACAAACATCAACTGTGATCAACTGTCAAGCCCGCATGTGGGCCCCTGCCAATCTGGCCCAAAGGCTTTGGGTACTGGGTTCAAATCTAGTTTTGTAACTTCAAGTAACTTTTAAAAAATTCCCTGTCCTTGTTTTCCTCAATAAAAAAAGGAATGAATAACAACTCAGTGTGAGTGTATAAGCATGATAAAACTTTGTGTCCATAAACCGTTATGAGATATATATATGTGTGTGTGTGTATGTATATATATATATATATGGCTATTATTGCAAAATGTTGGCATGGTTGACTCTTGGTTCCAGAGTCCACGTTATTTATTTTGCATTTAATAGAAGCTTGACTTGAGGGGAAAAAAGAACCCTCTCTCTTCCTCTTTCACCATGCTAGAGAAACTACTTTCTCATTCTTTTTCACATTCTCTCAATTACACATTACCTTAGTTATAAGGTAAGAACAGCTGAGAATGCATTGATAGCTGAAATTCCCCACTTATGAAAACTATATCTGTGTTTTCAAATTTCGAGATGCAGAAATCATTTACAACACATAAAAGTATATGACAGCCTATGTTCTTTGTACAACTGTGTATATTTGTGTGTGGGAGAATAAACAAACCCCTAACTAAACAATCATCTCAATATTTTTTCTGATGTAGCACAGTGGTTACAGCATCAGCCATGTACACTGATGCTGGTGGGTTCGAACTCAGCCCAGACCATCTAAACAACAATGACAACTGCAACAAAAAAATAGCCGGGTGTTGTGGCAAGTGTCTGTAGTCCCTGTTACTTGGGGCAGGAGAATCGCTTACGCCCAAGAGTTTGAGGTTGCTGTGAGCTGTGACACCATGGCACTCTACTGAGGGTGACATAGTGAGACTCCCTCTCAAAAAATAAATAAAATAAAATAATAAAAACTAAAAACATTTTTTTTGCTGATGCAAGCAACAATTTGTACTATCAAAAGTAAAGTCTGACCTTACATTCTCTTTACAGGAAATAGAAAACAGACAAAAAAGTATGACCTGTGCCCCCAGTTCTGGTGCCTTTCCTTTCTCCTAACCATGATCTCCAGCCATCTCTGCTGGGCAAATGGACACCTGACCCCATGACTCTGGGTCACACCAAGGACACCGACATCACTTCTATGCAGATTCTTCTCTGCTCTGAGGAACATCATGCCAGTCATGTCTAATATTACTGAGCATTTAGTATGAGGTGGGCACAGTTCTAAGCAGACTTTTTTTTTTTTTGAGACGGAGCCCCAAGCTATCCCCCTGGGTAGAGTGCCGTGGCTTCACAGCTCAGAGCAACCTCCAACTCCTGGGCTCAAGCGAGACTCCCGCCTCAGCCTCCCAAGTAG